GTTGTGTTTCCCCGTAGCTGCCAGTGTCGCACCTTCATCCACGTTGATCCTTAGCACTTTAGAAGTCACAGCGGCCTTTGTCACGGCTTCGAAGCTGCCCGCGCGGTGTGCGTGTCCTCCTCCAGACGCGCTTCTTGTAGCTTACGTGACAGGGAAGCTACGGAGCCTGTATTTCATGGTGAAAACTGCACTATTTCTCGTAAGTTGAACGTTTCAGTAGCTTTGTAGAAACCGAGGGCTTGGTGATCCTTGTGCCCGCGCGGGAGGCGGGCATCTCTCGGCCGCAGAGGCCCGTGGGTGTGGGGCCCGCTGTCCCCACGCGGCGTGCCTGTGGCTGCGGTCCTGGCTCGGGGCGGGTGGGGGGGACCCGACACAGAGGTGACGCAGCCCCTGGACGCGGCTCCTCACGGAGCAGGCTCGCGTAGGGTCGCCAGCTTCATTGACTGTGTTCCTGAGAGCAGTTTATTTATTTATTTATTTATTTATTTATTTATTTATTTATTTTTATTTTTATTTTTATTTTTATTTATGATAGGCACACACAGAGAGAGAGAGAGAGAGAGAGAGAGAGAGAGGCAGAGACACAGGCAGAGGGAGAAGCAGGCTCCATGCACCGGGAGCCTGACGTGGGATTCGATCCCGGGTCTCCAGGATCGCGCCCTGGGCCAAAGGCAGGCGCCAAACCGCTGCGCCACCCAGGGATCCCGAGAGCAGTTTATTTAATCAACAGGAAGATACTTTCCTATCCCTGGTTTTATCTTATTTTTTATTTTTTATTATTATTATTTTTTTATTTACGATAGTCACACAGAGAGAGTGAGAGAGGCAGAGACACAGGCAGAGGGAGAAGCAGGCTCCATGCACCGGGAGCCCGATGTGGGATTCGATCCCGGGTCTCCAGGATCGCGCCGTGCGCCAAAGGCAGGCGCCAAACCGCTGCGCCACCCAGGGATCCCCCCTCTCCTTGGTTTTAAAAGCTCAGGTCGTCGTCTCAAATTCGCACAGTTGTGAAAGACTTGGGAAAGGAAAGAAAACACCCTCGTGTCCGCAGCGGCTCGCAGGCGGCTGAGGGACGCATTGTGGGGAGACTCACACGTTCCGCCTCGCACGGATTCTGGGCATCGGTGCGCACACGTGTGTCTGCACCTGTCGTGCGCCCCGTAGAACCAGGGGTGCTCGTGGTCGCCGCGTACTCCTTCCGCCCCTAAAGGTCCTCTTCTGGTGGGACTTCAGGGTTTTATTCTCTAGTAAATGACACTTCCGTGGGACATTCTTAGATCTATGTCTTTGAATTTGGGGCTGATTGCTTTTATTCTCGTTTTCTCAGGCAAACGGCCTAGAAATAGCATTGCTGGGATGGGGGGGCACACGCAGGGGGACCGTGGCACCAGGCTGGCCCTCAGCTGGTGGAGCCGTGCAGCCACGGCCGGTTGTGAGGACGCCGCTCCAATGCCCAGCGGCAGCCGGTCTGCAGGGCGCCTTCACCGGCGGATGGGAGGCGAGGCCCGCGGCGGCGACAGCTCCCGGCCCCGGCCATCCTGCGTGTCCAGAGACCGGCCCGGTGCCGAGTGGCCGTGCAGCAGGCAGACGGAAATTCCGCAAATGTCCCAGAGCTTCCCTGTGCCGCTGTCCCACCTCACTCACGGCATCGAGGGGCGCTGATCGAGCCTGTCCCCTGTGCCAGGCTGCTCTAAGCGTCGGGATCTCCAGTGTCCCTCAGTGCTCCTGGGGCATCACGCAGTAGACAAGTAAATTACTATATAATAGTAAAAATGGCTAACATTGGGTGAGCCTATGATGTAACTGGCACTTTTTCTAAGTGCTTTCTATGTAATTGCAGATTTAATTCTTGCAAGAGCCTAGGAGTAGGTTTATGATCCCGCGGGCATCCCCATGTAGAGATGAGAAAGCAGAGGCCTAGAGGAAGGAGGTCACTTGCCCAGGGGGTCCTGGTAGGCACTTCGTGCTCCCCTGCCTCAGAACTTAGCACATCCAGGGTGGTTTCAGGTGACGCTGGTCCCAGTGAGCAGGGTGGGGCCCAGAGGGTGTACTGGGGAAGTGCATGACCCGTCCAGCAGTGTGGTTGATTCTGGGTTTGAGGATGGCTTTGAGGGATTTTGCCCAGGGTAGTGACACCTAAGTGTTCATGATCAGGCTCTTGGGTGCCCACCTCCAGGATTCCAGGTGAGAAGCGGATGGGTTGGGCTGGGGGTGGGGCTGGTGGGCTGCAGGTGGACAGGAGAGGGGCGCGTGTCCTGAGCGGCTGCAAGCTGGGCCGGTGGGGCCTGGAGGCGGTGGGGGCTTCTTCCCACAGATGGCAGAGAGGCCGGGGGGCGCGTCCTGCAGCAGGACCCAGAGCTGGGCTCTGCCACAGACCGTGTGCAGTGACTTGGCTGAAGAACTGTGGAAAAGGAGATCCGCTGGCTCTTGACTCAGTACCCGCGTGGGCGGTAGTGGGTGCAAAACCCCATTTCCTCATAAGCAGATTCTTCTACTTTAGCAAGTGTGAGCTGCTTTTAGCCTCATCCCGAGACTCCTAGTGTTTCCTTTCGGAGTGTGTGTTCTGCTTCACTGGGCTTTTCCCCTGATGCCTGTGCTGGGGTGTGGCTGCAAGGCCCCGGCGCCCCCACGGCCCCCGTGGTCTGCGAGGTCAAGGCTGTACTGATGAGAGTATGAGATGCGGCTGACATTTCTCCCGGTGGGTGGGTGTGCGATGGGCAAAGCTGCTGGTGCCCCGGCGGGCGTGGGGCCCCTGCTCGTCAGGTTCGTCACTGCCCGGCGTGGGCACGGAGGGAGCGGTTTCACTTAGGATGTTCTTGGTGAGGCAGGACAGTCTTCACTTTTAGGGAGCACGTAGGCCTCTGCCCGGGAGGTGCAGGTCTGTTTGGTGCCCTCTGTGACGAGGCAGGCCCTTGTGCCACTGGCTGGTGTGGCGGCGCCCCCGGGAGAGCCGTGTGGTGGCCGGGTGGCCCCCCGAACGGGCCCTTCTTCCGTGGGACACCATCTGTACTTGAGAGGATAACTGATGGGTAAACTGTGGGTGTTCAGGCTTGGCCACCTGCCAGATAATTTCTTAAAAATGAAGCTCGGCTGTCACTTTAAGGAAAACAGCTGACAGTGTGTGTTGCCAGCGATGACATTTCAGCTCGCAAGTGGGAACAGGGATTTGGGAGCCGTGCACCCCCCTTCCACCCATAGCATCTAATGGCACGCGTCAGCCTCCGGGAGAGCTCGCTGCTTTCCATGCCACCAGGTCCCGATGTCGTGGGCCCGGGCAGGGTCAGGAACCCTCGCAGGGTGGCCCCTGATGCAGCCAGGTCCACGGAGCTCGTTGGGGTGGGGGTCACGGCCACGCTCCCACGTGCCGCCAAACCAGGAAGCCTGCAGGCCCTGCTGGCTGGGACCACGCCCGCCCTCCAGCCCCGACTCTGTGAAGTGGGCTGCCTTTGTCCCTTCCACCCGAACCCCCCCCCGTCCCAACAGACGATGCTCCGAAGCCCATGTGACAGTCCCGCTGACTTCCCCCAAGCCAGATCCCACAGAGGCTTGCAAACCATGCCACTCTGCTCACTACTTGTTTAGTGTTTTGGAAAAGACACCTATTTTTTTTCATAAAAATAGATAATTTCTGTTAATGTTCAGTGACACGGTCATTTTCAAATGAATTAAATGAACATTGAAAAAAAATCTCGTGTTTTTGTTTTTTTTGTTTTTTTTTTTTTTAAATCTCGGTTTTAACTTGTAATGTGGCAAATATCGATATGTATAGCCACATAAACAAGAGCCCTTTGGGGTACTCATAATTTTAAAGAGGGTGGAGGGGCTCTGAGCCTAAAAACTATGAGAACTGCTGTTCTAAGCCAGCTGGTGTTGATCGGCTTATATTTTTTAAAAACACTTAAAATTACTTTGTCCTTGGTGTTCTGACCCTGAGGTCTGAGGAGGCGAGGAGGAGCAATGTGCTGGCAAGGGCAAGTGTTGCTCCTGTGTGGGTGTGTATGGGGGGGGTTGTGCACCTGCGTGGGGCGGTGCTCCGGACCTAGAGGTCTGGGCCTCTCTGTGGTCCCACCTGGTGCTCAGGCGGGCCTCAGGGATGACAGATGCAATCACCCTGCCTCGGGCCCATGAGCACCGCTGGGCAGGAGTTACAGCTATTCAAAGTGATTGACTGTCCTATGTCCCTGTATTATTGATCTTTTTTTTTTTTTTAAAGATTTATTTATTTATTTTATGATAGACATAGTGAGAGAGAGAGAGAGGCAGAGACACAGGAGGAGGGAGAAGCAGGCTCCATGCACCGGGAGCCTGATGGGGACTCAATCCGGGACTCCAGGATCACGCCCTGGGCCAAAGGCAGGTGCCAAACCGCTGAGCCACCCAGGGATCCCCCCCCCTGTATTATTTATCTTACATTTAGTTATATATTGTTAAGGTTTATTACGTAGATACATATGTAGCTGATGATGAAGGAATTTACTAGGATTTTTGTTCCCCTTTAATGTTTGTCAATTTGCACAAAGGCAGACTTCAGGAAAGACCGTAGTGAGTGTGGCTCTTTCAAATGCTTCTTCTGAACCCAAACTGCCCAATAAACACGGTCACATGGAGAATAAATGATGACAGCGTTAGGAGTGCCGAGTAGTAGGGATCCCTGGGTGGCGCAGCGGTTTGGCACCTGCCTTTGGCCCAGGGCGCGATCCTGGAGACCCGGGATCGAATCCCACGTCGGGCTCCCGGTGCATGGAGCCTGCTTCTCCCTCTGCCTGTGTCTCTGCCTCTCTCTCTCTCTCTCTCTCTCTCTCTCTCTCTCTCATGTGACTATCATAAATAAATAAAAATTTAAAAAAATTAAAAAAAAAAGAAGTGCCGAGTAGTAAAGCAACAAATAGAAGAGCCAAGAGAGGTCTAAGAGCAAAGAAGAAAACACGTCCAATAGGAAGTTGAGGTAGAAACTTTCTCGATAAATGAACACTTTTATTTTTGCCACAAAGGCACCCACACTGTTGCCGCCCTGCACCGCGCACACCCAGATGAAGGGGTCCTGGGGCCTGCAGCGCCATCAGCCGGGAGGGACCTGTGCACAGTGCACACAGGTGGGCCTCCGCACGACTAGGATGGGGAGTGACCTAGAAGGAGGACACCCAGAAGGAAGGGTCTCGGCGCTTAGCCGCAGTCAGCTGGCCGCCGTCAGCCGTGCGCCAGAGCACGCGGCGTATCCAACGTCTACACCCGCGCAGATGAGAAGCATCCTTTCCCTGCTAAGAAGCAACATGAGCCGGTTGTCAGTAAGAGAAACTTGTATGGACCTGGGACTTGTTGGTCCCAGCTGAATGTTTCCTAGAATTACCTGCTCCCTAAGGGACCGCTCCGAATCTTCTCAAAGTTCACCCGGTGTCGGCTCTCTTGGAGATGGCTTCTGAGCTTCTGCAAGTGTCACCCTTTTTTTATGTGATGGAAGTGCCCTAATTCTAGAGCCTGTTGGAAACAACAAGAAAACAAAGGTTATAAGTAATTTTTACTTCTGAACGGGTCTGTAGGCCCCGTGCAGAACGGTGGGGGAGAGAAGGCGAGACCGCAGTATATGGCTGACACCGAGGGTTATGGCGCAGGTGTCCCTGCAGGGAAACTACAGAGTTCACGTGGGTACAGGAGAATGCTTAGGAAGAATACCAGATTAATAAGTCCTCCACTGTTCATAATTTTAAAAAAATCCCCCAAATGGGAGGAAGTACGTAGTTTTTTTCTGAATAGGTTAGAGATTAGAGAAAGTGGAAGTCAGCTTTCCACGGCTGGGAAGCTCTGGAGGCCTCGTGCTCACGTGGACAGGGGACCCGGCACCTCCCCGGGCGTCGCTTGCCATGCCGGCCGTGTCCGTAGGGTGTGCAAAGCCAAAATGGGTTCACTCTGGCCGAAAGGACTCCCTGACGACAATCCACCTGTTTCACATTTGCCGCTAATTATTAGAAAAGCCCAAGAACCGGTAGATGGTTTTGGTGATAGGAACCTCCAGACGTGCGATGACAGAAGCGTCGCCGACGACCCCTTCCTTCTGCGCACGTGGGGACCCGGCCGTGTCGCCGGCAGAGGCTGCTGGTGGCTGCTCTGCCCACGATCAGTGTTTGTGGTTGGTTTGTCATTCTCTTTGGATGTTTCCCCGCACGGTTAATTTTCACTGTGATCCTGAAGCATTTTACCCCGCCACCATTAGGCCCTGTGGGCCCCCTTTTAGGAAGGAGAGTAGAGGGGGCACAGGGTCCCCGCGACCCCCAGAGGCAGGTGTGCTCAGAGCCCTGACATGCTCACTCATCCTTCCCCAGCCTTTAACACATACACGCGAACGCGTTCCTCGCACTACGATTCTAGTTTTGCGAGGTCGTGGACCACACATGGAGGAGGGCATCCCGTGTGTTGGGCTCCTCCGTGTGCGTGTAGCTGTTGATGACTGTTGTCAATAATCCGCGTTCTGAACAGTGAGTTCATTTTCCCGTGGAAGCTTGTTTGCAGCCGCCGTCACACGTGGCGGGTGAGCATCCCGCGTGCGTCCTCGGGCCGCCTCGCCCTGCCCCAGCGGGGAGGGGGCTCAGGGTCGGGGCGAGCGGCGTGGGCTCTGCGTGGCCGTGCCGGTGTGTCCCAGGCGGCTGCTCCGGTGTGTACTCCGCTCAGCGTGTGCACGGCCGATCCTTTCCCTTCCTGGTTTTCCTCTTCACTTCCACTTGTGCTGTGATCTCGGACTTACAGGAAAGTTGCAGGAATAGAGCAAAGATTTGCTATAGATGTTTATTTATACAAATAACTTTTTTGGGAACCGTTTGGAAGTTGGTCTGGGTGCTCTCTGCCCCATGTCATCCAGTACGTATGACCCCGAAACAAGGACAGTCTCTCGGCAGCTCTGCGGCGCAGCGATCAGAATCCGAAAACCACCAACGGTGCAGCAGCGTCTTAAAATCCTAGGCTTTCGTCCGATTTTGCCAACTGTCCTCATAAAGCCTTACATCTGGAGAAAACCTTGGCCCCTCGGCTCCTCCGGACCAGCCTCTTGTCTTCTGTGTGTTTCATGACATGAACATTCTGGAAGATGCAGACAGCCGTGCTGTAGCGAGCGTGGGACGTTGCAGTGTCCATGATCGGAGTGCGGTGACGCCCCCAGGGCTGGAGCCACCACAGCCCACAGCGATGCTCTGTTCTCTGTGCGTCCTGTGCCGGGTTCCAGGTGGCCGGCGTCCCGGTCCTGGGGATGCTGACCCGACCACTGGGGTAAGGTGCTGCTGCCGGGCTTCTCCCTGGAAGGTTAGTCTTTCCTTTTTCATCGATAAGAATCTTGTGGCAGATGCTGTGGGAGGTGCAGATGCCGTGTTGCTCCCCAAGCCCTGACCTCTGGCTTCAGCGCCCTGGGTGACGGCGGTGGCCCCGGGTTCAGCAGCCACGGGTGCTGGTGGCGACGGTGGTGGCGACGGTGTGGTGGCGACGGTGGCCGAGTTGTCACCACGTGCAGCGGTTGGCTTTCTCCTACTGAGAACTTCCCTCTCTTCTTCATTTATTTCTTATCTGTTTATTTATCTAAAGTAGTTTGGAGCCATGGATTCTTATTTTATTAGCCGGGTTCTGATTCTTCCTTAACGTGATTTGTTCTGCTGCCCACAGGGTCCAAGCTTGCCTGATGGCGGCCCCTTCATGCCGGCCCCTCCCGCGGGTCCCCGTGCACTGGCGCCCCGCTCAGCTCTCCACGATGCAGGACAGTAGTCGGGTCTCCCGTGGGCCTTCCCTGCCCTCCCCTGGGTCTTTGTCAAGTTCTGTTCTCAGCACCAGCATTTGGAAAGCCAGCTCTGCCCGCAGGCTGTGCCGACCTCGTCCCAGGCTGTGAGCAGGCCACGCTGGCAGGGACACCCACGCATGGCCTCCCACCTAGGTGGGTCCCCGTGACCCGCAGAGCCCACACCCATGCACATCCTCTCCCTAGGTGGTTCCCTGTGACCCGCAGAGCCCATGCACACACACATACCCTCCCACCCATGTGGGTCCCCATGACCCATGGAGCCCATGCACACCCTCCCACCCAGGTGGGTCCCCGTGACCTGCAGAGCCAAGGCCACCACTTCTACCTCCAGTGTGGCTCCACAAGGCCCGGTGACCCCCTCTTTCCCGTAGTGTCACCCCTCCTCCCACAGTGAGAACCCTCCCTCCCTGTTTCCCTAATCTCCGTACTTGCTGATTTAATCCCAGAATAGGCTCCGAAAGAATTCCTCAATCTGTGCCTCCAGGGGAGAGCAAGCCGCTCACCGGGTCGGGTGTTTGTTCAGCGCGTGCCGTGAAATACGGCCCGAGCCCTGCGCCTCAGAGCTGCGTGGGTCGCTCGTCGCGCCCCGTCCTGGCCTCCGCGGTTGTGTTACTCACTTCAGATGTGGTTTGGTTCATTTGTTTGTTTGCATTTCAGTTTTTCCCTCTCTTCATACGTTTTTATTTTATTTGTTTTCACTTTCTGAGTGTGTGAGACGGGAGTGCCGTGCTGTCCCTGCAGCCAGTGGTGGGTGAGAAACGGGACTGAGAGGCGTGGGGCCCCCCGCGTGGCCCGGCTTCCCCCGGGGCCGCCTGCCCCCAGCTCCGCCCTGAAGGAGAGAAGAGCAAACACACGTACTTTATGTTGGATTCCGTGTTGCACCCGAGGAGCATCACAGGTAGCGCTCTTGCACGCGCTGTCGCACACCGGAGCGGCCCCGGAGCCCTGCCGCCCCCCCACGGAGCCCCCGGCCTGCACTGCCCGGGAACGAGCGTGTGCGCACGTGCTGCCTCCGCTGGACCTGCACCTTCAGGCTGCCCCTGCGGGCGGATGAGCTGCCCCTTCTACAGAAGATGAGCAGACGCATCCTTGGGCTCGATTTTGCACAACGTGCCCGTAGGAAGCCTGCACCGGTTTGCGGTCCCGTGCCCCCGCCCGCCGCGCCGCGCCTCTTCCCACACGGTTTGCAGAGCAGAGGGTGTTACTTCTTGCCAATCTGACAGATAAGGAACGGAATGTCCGTGTGAAGGCCTCTTTCTCTCCTGACGCCTTTGGCCTGTTTTTCTATCTGGATTCTGGTCATCGTTCCCACAATTTTTAAGCACTTTTAATACATGAGGAATTTTAGACTTTATCTGGGAGGTAGATTGGAAATACTTTCCCCTAATCTGTCCACTGGATTTTGAAATCTTTGTGGTGCTCCTTTGCCATGTAAAAGCACGTCCCCGACCCCACCCCGGCACGGTTCACGTTTACCAATTTCTTTTTCTCCCTCTCCCTCTCCCTCTCCCTCTCCCTCTCCCTCTCCCTCTCCCTCTCCCTCTCCCTCTCCCTCTCCCTCTCCTCTCCCTCTCCCTTTCCCCTCCCCTTCCCCTTCCCCTTCCCCTTCCCCTTCCCCTTCCCTTCCTCCTCTCTGCTTCCGGCTCTTGAGTTGCAATGGGAAAGCTTTCCTCTGTTCCCTGCATAGGAGGAACCCCCACATCTTGTTCTGGGGTTTGTGTTATTAGTTCACTTTTTATGGCAGGTCCCTGGACCGAGAGGCCTTTATACGCGCGTGCGTGTGAGGTGTGGACCTACTTGTATCTCTTCCCGGTGGCTCCCCAGGGGGCCCAGCACCATCGGTTAAACAGCGAGCGGTCCAGACGCCACCTGTGCCGCGCTGGCCGGTCTGCCTGTCTGTGTGTCCGTCCTCCGCTGCCTCAAGCACGGCAGCTCCCGGGCTGTTTTACGGTCTGGCTGGAAGCGTCAGTGGCCCTCCCACACCTGGTGCACGTCTGTCCCGTCGCGGCCCTCGGGCTGGCGCGGGTCAGTGTGCCTCCGCCTGCCCTGCGGTCCCCAGCCGTGCGTACCTCTCCCTCGTGTCTTTGTGTCCCCCTCCTGGTTATCTCCTCCGCGCTATTTTACGGTTCTCCAGTTCTCTCTCTGGCCATGGCCGTTGGATTACTCAGCTTACTCATTTAGTTTTTATTTTTAATCATTAACAGTTTTTTCCTTACAAGCTGTATTTGGGTCATTTTCCGACGTGCCTGACCGTTTTCGATGTCAGTGAGGACAGGTGGCACGCAGTCTCCGTCTCCCCCTGCGCGCCCCTCCGGCGGAGCTTCGGGCTCTTACGGCCCCTCTTTGGCAGGTGGAGACCGCGGCAGAGAGAGAGAGGTTACGGGATCCGGGGCTGCGCAGCTGCTGAGTGACAGTCCCCGACAGCCACTCGCTCCCTGGATGACCCTGTTTGTTTCTTCACGCCTGGTGTTGAGATGCAGTTTGTGGTCAGATCAGATTTTCCTGTAATTGGAGTCTGCCCCGGCCTGACCTCCACTCCCTGGGCCATTCCCCTGCGTTTGATTTTAGATTGTGACTTTATGCCTCATACTGTTGTACCGACGTTCTTGGGGGTTGGGAACACGCCCATCCAGGGGCGATGCGTGTCTGTGTCTGCCTGGTGTGGAGCGGCGCAGGCCTGGGCAGCGTCACCTGGGATGCACTTCCAGATGCATCTGCCCCGGTGTCTGTGTCAGGTGTCGGAGGTTGTCGGATTCTCCCCCAAAGCCCTGCCAGGTGTCTGTGTCGTGGACCCCGGGGTAGTCGTGTCTCTTGATTTGCCCGTCCCCGCGGTGTCAGGGCTCCTGGGTGCGTCCCTTCGGCGGGGAGGTTTCCCAGCCTCCCTGGGGTCCATGGCCCCGTCCCTTCCGGCGCAGCCCCCGGCTTGGTCTCCTGGTCTTTAGCGGGGGCCCGAGTCTGGTGGCAGCCTCAGGATGGGGTGAGGTCCTGCCCGCCGAGGGTTCCTCACTCCCGTGACAGCTCGGCTGTGGTTGGAGAAGGATCTAAACACTTGATGCCGCGTTGCCAGACTCACAGGCTTCTCTGGGCCGCTCGGCTTTCTTCTGAGGACGCTTATTTTCACGAGGAGCGAACCTCGTCTCCCATGACGTCAGGCGCTGGCCTGGGGATGCGGAGGCCTGCCCAGTCACATCTGCTAAGTGACGAGGAAGACCTTGATGGTTCCTGACTGCGCTGCCCAACGTGAAGAGCGGGCCGGGGTCTGTGCCCGTCCTTCGGCCTCCAGAGGACGCTCCTGGAGCACGGCCGGCTCTTGGGCTCTGCTCTGAGCCCTCGCTTCCACACTGCTGAGGTGACTCCCTGCCGGTCCTGTGTCGCTGGTCCCGTCGAGGACTGCTGGTACTGCCCATCAAGAGTATGTTTAAAACTATGACGTGAGTGCGAGCAGAAGCCAGACCGTGCTGCCGAGCACCCCTGGGTGCCGGTTGGAGGAGGAGCTGGGGAGCGGGTGGGGAGCCTGTGGCGTGTCCGGCCTCCCTCCCCTCGCCTTCCCGGGCCCACGGACTGAGGTCGGGCCTGGCGAGGGAGCTTCGTACACCGGCTTCTGCCTCAGCCCGTGGGCACCTGGCGTGTGCTGGGCGAGGCCACCCGAGTTGTCTTCTCGAGATGTGCCCTCCTCGGCTCCTTGCCCCGCAGCCCCACCGACCAGGAACGCGTGCCCTGGCCAGTGCGAGGACACAGAGATGCAGAGACACTTGCCAGCCGTGATTGCAATTGTCCTGGCAGGACCAGGAGACTTCATCGTGTAGACGAGGCCCGAAAGGAGGGCGCTTTGCCTCAGGCCACCTGCCCGTGCCGGCCCTGGGCCTCGGACCGGGGCCCTGCCTTCTGCCGAAGCTCTCTGTCCATTTTGCCGGCCGCGTCCGTGGGGCCAGCGTGGACAGGCAGGCCACAGATTCCCGTCGTCTGTGCTGCGGTGCCGGGTGCCGGGTGAGCTCCCCGAAGGACGGTTGCAGAGAGATGAGTGGCACTTCCCTGGGCCGCGCTGGCAACAGCGCCGAGGTCCTTGTTCCAGCGACTGTGCTCATTTTTATGGAAGGCAGATATGAGAGTTTTAATTTAGTTGGACACGCAAGGAAAAGCCTGAATTTGGCTTCCTCTGTAGCAGTGCAATGGTTCATTTTTCTGAACAAAACTGTAAATAACAGTCGAGTGTTTGCTTTAGAATGGAGGGCGATAGGGAAGACTTTTTATTATCTGGCCTTGGCCTTCTTTCAAATAACGGAGGAAGGAAGGGGAGAATGTAAAATCGTGTGTGCATGTGTGTGGGTGCGCACGTGTGTGCCCGTGTGTGTGTGCACCTGCACACTGACCCCTCGGCGGCCGCAGGTGGAGGTGCTCACGCGGGGCCGTGTTCCTCGCAGGTTATGCGCCGTCGGGAGCGGGGCTCGCGGGGCTCCTCACCGGCTGTGCGGGGCAGGGATGGTGGCGTCTCTCGTTGGCCCTCGTGGACCTGGAGCGCAGGGCAGAGCGCAGGGCAGGGCTGCGGTGGCTTAGGTAGGTAGCGTCCCCGCCGCCCCCCAGGCCACTGCCCCAGCCCAGGGTGGCGACCCATCCCCGCCCTTGGAGGTCCAGGAGTGAGCATCCATTGCGTCCGGTGCCTTTCCATTGACTGATGATGATGACTTAACCCTCCTGTTGGGATCCCTCAAGTCTAAACTGAGACCGTCTGGTTGTGATTTTTGTGACTTTGGGTTTTTCGTGGAGACTTCTTTTGAGCAGTATTCTCTCTCCCCAGCTCATGATGTTACTGCCAGAGGGGACCACGGGATCTCTGCTCTTGGGGAGCGTGTCAAGTGATCCTTCCCGAGCTCCTTAGTCCCGGGAGGGGCCTTGGGATCGGGTGGGCCTTGCCCGCAGGTCCCCCTGCTGCGTCACCCTGGGGACAAGCTGCTGTGGAGTTGTTAGAGCCGAGCATGGGAACTGCGTGTGAAATGCAGCTTAAAATATACATTTAATGTTTAAAACAGAAACATGAACTAGTAGTGCTTCTGTGGCCGTGTGTGACTGGGGAGGGGCCGCGCTGCCCCCACGCTGCCCCCTGCCCTTCACCTGGCAGAGGGTCCCGGAGCCCGTCCCTGGCCACACGGCGCGGGGCTTCCTTCCAACAGAGTCCTCGGTATTCAGCGTCCTTTCATTTCTCGAATCTGTCATTTCCATCCTGCTGGCAGCACTCGGGCTCCTCCACTTCCCGGACGCGCAGAACGAGATGCTCGGTGTTGTGTGTCGGTGGATGGAGACAGCTGACGCTGGCTTAAGGGTGCTTCATCCTGCTATTTGTGTGGCATGTGGCACAACAGTCCGCACCGGCCCGGCTGGCTGCTTTGCCAGGGCCGAACGTTGCGACATGGAGCAGAACAAGTGTGCCGATGCCTCCGGTCGTCAGCTCACGTGCCGTGAAGGCTGCTGAGCGCGAGGATGGGCACCCGCCGCTGAGGAGCGCAGGGAGCCCCGGTGGGGCCAGGCGCTGGGACCTCTGGGAGCTTCGTTTTCTTCTTTGTGAGATAGAACGAAGGCTGCTCGTCCTGGCAGAAAGCACGATGGGCCAGGCAGCCATCCCATGCCTGCGAGCTCCTCTGTACGTGTAGGCAAACACCATTGGCATCGGATGCAGAGAGGATTATGGGATTGGCTTGTAACGGGACCTGACGGACTCATTCCCTTAGTGGCTGGTTAAGGAAAAACGGAGGGGAATACCAGTGATTGTCGCCTTTGTCCTGAGTTCCCAGGCCCTGCCGGGCGGCCCTGCTCAGGCTCAGCCCCCGGAGTGGCCATGGCAGCTTTTCCTGGGGACCTGGCCCGTGGGCTCAGGCCAGCTCCCTGTCTCGTGTTCTCAAGGCAGGCTCGGCGGCTGCACAGCCTCTAGTGGGTACTGGCTGCTTCTCTCTTTAGTTAAAAAAAAAAAAAAAAAAATTTCCCTCTATTTTTATAGGCAATGTAGCTCCCAACCCCAAGGAAAGTGTGGTCTTAGGTGGGAATACCAGCGGCAGCGCCCTTCTCTGGGAGTCTTTCAGATTGGAGCTGGGGCAGGAGGCCCCTTGGTGTCTGGTGGCTGAACGGGGGACATGGGCCTGGGAGCTGCTGTGTTCAGTTTGCAGCGCCAAACGGGAAGAGAGAGGTGGGCAGGCCGGCGGGGCTGCAGTCCACGACCTTGGACCGTCGGTGGCACTGGTCCCCGAGGCTCCGGGGCTGCCTGGCACCCGACTTTCTTGAGAGGGCCAGGGTTTCTCTGGTTTCTGGGAGCTGCCCCAGGGGCTTTCCGCCCAGTCTTCTTTACTGCTCACGCAGGTACAGGTATGGCCTTCATCCTTTGCCACCAGAGGAGCCCAGACTTTACTGAATCAGATGACGGATCTGAACCTGAAGTAGGCGACAGTGGAGGGGAGGAACGTGTCTGTGGCCATGGCACCTGCTAACATGCAGATCCTGCCTTGCCTGCTCAGCAGGGAGGGGCCCCCGCAGGACAGAAGGGGAAGCAGAGGCAGGTGGGGAGCCTGGGAGCGGGGGCCGGATGGGAAGCAGGCTGTGCTGCTCTGGCCCATCATCGCTCCCACACTGTGGCTCTAGTTTTGAGGGAAGTGGGAGGTGGTTGAAAAGACCTCCCTGTGTCCGACAGCTCTGGGAACCCACTGGGTGCTCGCTCGTAGGCCTTTCTTAGCGTATGGCAGCTCGTTGGCCCAGGAACGCGGCGCAGGCAGGTTAAAGGCAGGGTGTTCTTGACTGTCCAGCGGCCATGGCCTGGCAGTGGCTTTGGACATGGCTCCCCTGCAGCGGGGCAGCAGTGATTCAGGGGTCCCACCAAAGCAGTTTGCCCGTGTCTCTGTTTTGGGGAAAGGTGTGTTTCAGGGGCTTCCGCTTTGTGCATAGTGACCCAGGCCTGGCCTCTCTCGCTGGCGTGAATGGGCTCTTCTCTGTTCCCTTTGACCCTGTGTAACCAGATCCAGGTCACAAGAGAGACAGCCCCGCTGTGCACTAGGTGGGACCCCCACCCCCCTCGCCCCCACGTTAGGAAAACAACAACGTATT